GGGGGGGGAAGGGGGGCAGCAAGCACACAGGTCTGAAAGAGGATACAATCACCATGAGAGCTCAGACCAGTCAGGTCCAGGGACAGATAAGGAAGCCCCACCTGCTGGGATGTTGAAGCCCCATGGGACTCTTAGGGCAACCCTGCCCTCACTGGCATCTAGGGGCACCATAGTTCCATGGAACAGTTGTTATAGGATTAATACTCATGCCCAGCCAGAATGGATGTTTTAAATAGATGAGTCCAAAAGCAGAGATAGGGTTTTGAGAAGCTCTTTAAGCTACCCAAGAACAAGAGACAAGAGATATGGAAAAATGGATCCAGCCCAAGTTAAGAGGGTTCATCCTCCCAGCACTCTGCTCTCCAAAGCCCTCCATATGTGCAGAGATGACACTGCTTGCACAAGAGCACAGGGGCTGAGTGACTGCATTGTTGTGTAGAGCTGGAGTTTGACAGGAAGAGCTTATTACCTCATTCAGCCTCTCCCAGGCCACGCAGAATGGCTCCTTAGTGTTTGGCACAGTATTGCTAATACCCTCCCTGTACTGATGGGGCCACTGCTGCCCTTGGGAGGAGACTGCTTGTGCCAAAGAACCCACCATCAGGAAGGGCATCCCATTATTCAGCTCCTGCTTCTCCTGGCTTTATCCATCTGCCCCTTGCATGTCCCTCAACAATGCTTTCCCTTGCTGACTGTCCCCAGCCTTCAAACGTGGGGCAATTTGCAATCATCTGCAACAGTGCAGAGCAATAGGTAAGGTTCAGGCCCTGGCACTCAACTCCTAGGTTCTAGCTTGAGTTCTGCCATTGCACCTGTTCCCCTGCTCTGCAATATAGGAACATACTGACCAAGCTTTCTAAAGCACCAAGTGTTCACTCCACCCATATGTATCCCTTCATCGCACTCAGGCAACATTCAGCTGTCACCACATAGTGAGAGTCTATTGCCCCCAGCACTGCTCAGGGACAGAAGTAGCCCAAACTGAATCTTGTAGCTCAGTTTCTCCCACCCAGAGCTAGGGACGTTAGATATCAGGTAACTGAATAGTCATGTTACTGCATGAATTCTTATCGTTACATGACTATTTGATAGTCCCTGGGGTAGGGCTGGCAGCCAATGTGCTCCAGCCCCACTCCTGGGGAGCCCTCTGCCACTCCACACAGCTGCTTCTGTATCAGAGGCAGCAGCATGGAATGCCAGGTGGGAGCTGATCCATGAGGGGAGCCAGTTTAAAAAAAAAAAAAAAAAAAAAAAAATCAGCTCCCCACACAGACCAGCTGCCTGCCGCTCCATGCTGCTGCCTCTGATACAGACAGTGTGATAGAAGTGAGTGGCGAAGCAGTCTGTGACAGCCTTGGCTGGCTACAGACAGAGGCTGGTCCAGCAACAGTCCCTGCCTGCAGGAAGCTCAGATCCCCTTTCCCTCCCTC